AATTTAATTAAATCAGATTTATGAATTGAATATACATATGTGTGGTGTGGCAACAAAATCATGGGCCAAATATTTGATTCTATTTTGGTGCTACGCAGAAATCTACTCCAATGTTCGAAATAATAATTGAGTATACGCATTTTTTGTTAGCTCTCCTTCTTCTGCTAAACATAAAATCGAACGATAGTTTCGAATCATAGATGGCGATATACGTATACAAGGCTTACGATACAAGGTTTTCACTTGATTTTTAACGGGGCTTAGAGCGAAATGCGGAATAAAAAAAAACCTTGAAGAAAATGGCAATCGATTAGAGATGTTGCTAAACCACACACAACCATAACAATACATCATTCATTCGAAAAGTTTTATATAGAGGCTGTGTGATAAGAGCGAGTACATAAAGTGAAGGTGGTAAAAAATTTCAAACTTTCAATTCAACAACAACAACGACGTCGACGTTGAACTTAGTGATTCATCATCCAACAGCCCATAGGCACTCTATATCTTCTTTAGTTCATTTTCGGTTTCTTTCCACTTCCTGTTTGATGTCGATTTTTCTGAGGAAATAAACAACAAACGCAATCGCTCGCACATCACATGGATCAGAAGCTGAAAAAACACACGACGCGCACCCTCCAGCGAAAAAGTAAAAAAAAAAGATTCTTTTGAAATAATGTACAGTCATGGACAAAATTGAGCGTACGCCTATAAATTTGTGTTTTATTTTTTCCAGTAACTTTTCATCTCAAATGTAATATATCAATGGGAAGTACATGAAAAATGAATAACATTGGCAATTTTGAACATCAAAATTGGCCGGCCAATAGGCGGCTTATGGCCCTCGGTAAAAACGGCCAAAAATTCAACTTTTTCCCCAGCCGTTCGATTTAAAAAGTTTAAATGCAGTTTCGAAGGCCTTCAGGAGCAGATGCTTTTAAACGCTGAAAACTTTCTGATTGGTTTCAATTTGGCCAAGTTATGGCCGTTGGAAAAATGGCCGATTTTTTTCGAAAAATTAAACCAAGCGTTTGATTGCGAAATGTCATATGTCGTTGGAAAGCCCATTTAATGAAGATAATTTTAATAGTATAAAACATAGAAATCGGTTACAATTTAACCAAGTTATAGGCGTACGAAAATTTTCGTCAAAATTTTTTTGGGTTTTCCAACGGCCATAACTTGCCCAAATTGAAGGCGATCCGAAAGTTTTCAGCGTTTAAAAGTATCTGCTCCTGAAGGCCTTCAAAACTACATTTAAACTTTTCAAATCGAACGGCTGGAGAAAAAGTTGAATTTTTGGCCATTTTTACCGAGAGCCATAAGCCGCCTATTGGCCGGCCAATTTAGATGTTCAAAATTGCCAATATTATTGATTTTTTATGTACTTTCCATTGATATATTACATTTGAGATGAAAAGTTACTGGAAAAAATAAAACACAAAATTTATAGGCGTACGCTCAATTTTGTCCATGACTGTAGATGAAGTTTGCATTAGTTATCAAGTGATGCTATTACATTTCGGTTAAATTATGTTTTGACGTTAAAAAACTTCGATCGAAAAACAACAACAACCATCACCTTTACTACGGAAAGAATGGTAAGGAAGCGGCGAAGATAGGAGAACGTTGGAACGCACTCAAGCCCGAAAATGTATGTTCTCTCTCTCACACGACCTAATTTTTATGTGCGAGGAGATCGTATTCAATAATGAACCTTTTATAATCATCATCGCTTCGGTTCAGAGAGCTAATATAAATAAAATGTGTGTATCACGGGGCTGTTGTTGAGGCTCGTATCAAAGGGAAATAATGGTTGCAACAACAACAATTTTATTTAACAGAGCAAAAGCAATCAAAAAATGGAATGAATCTAAAGTAAAAAATCAGATTTTTTCTCTCTCTTCGTTCTTTCAATATATTCTAATGGGAGTGACACGTTAGGGATATTTTCACCGAGCTAAAAGTACCAGGCAAACACAGGCAAGCGGCAAACGCGAGAGAGAGAGAGAGAGAGAGAAAGAGTCATGTGTCATATAATATTTGCCGTATTGGTAAATATATTCCACATTCAAAAGGGGAAAAAATCAAATATACGTACGCACTAACGCGCAAACCAATGATGACAGGCACGTAAATAAACTTTTTCCATCTTTTGCTTGCTCTTTCAATCTCTTGTTCACGCTCAATGCCGCGCCGCGCTCACTGCTTTTGCTCCATATAATTCAAGAGCATGAAAGGCGACCGAACCACACGGCACATTTCACATTGGACCTAAATGCTGTACAAAGCACTTATTTAATGAGAAAATTTATGCAAATATTGAGAAAAGACGAAAACGCCATGGTCGCGGTTACGCAATCAAAAGGCATCATTTAGTGACAAACACAATAAAAATGCACAGAATGAAGAAGTGAACGGTGAAAAACAAATAATGAACGAACAAACGAAAGACAGCAAGCGAACGAGAGAGACAGCGAGCGCCCGAAAAAGAGGGAGTTCATGATGAGGAACGCACCCAAAAGCAACAGAAACACGGACCAAATTGAAATTGGTGTGTAATTTCTTATTCGTGACGAATGGTTTATATATTTTACATTTTCTCGAGCTCATCGAAAATGCTTGAAGGAACGATGTCAATACTGCGTTCATTCTAAGTAAATACACCCGTGTGCTCTGTTCGGCTCGGCCCGGCTCTGTCTTATCAGCACACGCATTTTGGCGTTATATTTTTTCTTTCTTGGCATGAGTACCGTGCATGACGCACACACTTATTGATAATTTATTGGCAAAATACGCAAATATCGTTATGAATCAATACGCAGGCAAGGTTTTACCGCTTCCTCGTTCTTCGGGCTTGAAAATGACGAAACATTCTTTTGTTGTAGTCGTCCTCATCTTCGTTGGCGTCGTTATCATTGTCGCACTGATGATGTGTGTCGTTGGCGCATTTGTGGATAAAGCTGGTAGATGAATTTCACCGAATACGTATTTAAACCATTGAAAAAAGCGAAACGTGTTCAATGCGCGCCTTGTTGATCAGATCTTTTATATCTCTCTCGCTAATGGATATAATGCAGCCCCTTTTCGTTTAATTAAAATATTTTTACATAACGTGATGAGATAATTACTTTATGCGCCCGTCTACCCTCTTCGTTCTTTTTTAACTCGTTCATTTTCATCTTGTGTTTGCTTATTCTTTTTTTTCTCTCTATCTCTCTTGCTGGCTCACTTTCGGTGTATGTGTGTATTTTTTTCCCTTTGACCTAGCGATTTATCGTCGTTACCGTTATTACTCGTTGTTCCATCGCAAAATATTTGCTCGGAGATGAGATTGTTTTGGGACTGCCTTACTTATCACATCCTTCTCTCTCGTTTCTTCTTTTTTTCTTTTCCTTTTCGCTTATGATCAGCACTTTTTTCTTCTCACGAAACACTTTATGCTGGTATTAGATATTTGCTTTCTAAATTTCGAAAAGTGTCACACAGTGTTTTGCAGATGGAAAGGGGGAAACGAAGAGAAACAGAAGAAGAAAAAAAATTGTGTTCACGCTGCAAACATATATTTTATAGCATTTGTGGCATTTTTCGTTTTGTGTCTGCTTATTGAAATTTATGTGAGTTTTTGTGATACAGAACCGCAAAATGTATGAGAGATGTATCTCTCTTTGAAGATTTGTTTTGGGAATTCAAAAGCAGCATTTGTCTCTCTGTGTGTACACGATGAAGTTAATCTGTTAATTGAAGCACACCCGTCTGACTTTCTTGAAACCATTAGATGATTGGATGTTCCAAAAATTGTGACAAAAACAAAAAACCAAAAGAAGAACAAAACCGAAAAAATATCAAAAATAAAGAAAATTTGAAGCGATATTCTTTATGCTTCAATCGCGACTGATTTTCTTAATTTGTGTGCAGTGTGTTCTCGCGTACAATATTTTCGCCGCGCTCTAGCTCCAGTTCCCTTTCTCTCGCCCAAAATTACATAAGGGGAAAACAATCGATTCGATAAATTATGACAGTGACACCAAAATTTAATGGCCAAATCTATAAATTGTTCCATGGGATTTTCGACCGCGATGTTGTTATTGTATGGGTGTGAAGTGTGCGGTGAGCGGTATTGGCTTTCATTTTTTTCATCGTCGTCGTTGTCGTCGTTGTCGCCGTTGTTGTTGTTGTTTCCTTTTCACACTTTGTGTGCCATTACAGTGGCTCTGCATTCATAACACGTATTGAAACGTTGTACGTGCGCTTATTGTTTTAAAAATATGGTGCGGATTGCATTGCCCTTTGAATGAATATTAGTCTATAGTATATTATAGTTGATATTTTATGTGTGATTTTTTTGTGTGTTCTCGCCGATTTTTGGTTTGTGTGCATCACTGCCCAATGCAAAGGTATAAGCAGAGGAGAGCAGAAGCAAAAGAGAGAGAGATGTAAAAAGTAGCAGAGGCATTTAATGTGTCTGAATTACACCGGCCCTTCCAGCTATAATTTGCCATATTAAATTCAACTCGCATCCACGTTTTTGGCCAATAAACTATTAGTTGCAAGACACTTTTTTCCAATCATTTCAGCAGCGCGTACCACATTACAAACGCTCGTGTTGCTCCATTGCTGGTTTATGGCTCAATAGCGTTAGCTACCACATTTGCAATAGTTCAATAAAAATAAATCTCTTTTGTAAATTGTGCAAACGTACGGGTACGACCTTTACCATGCACATTCCACTCTCGTTTACTCGCAAGTGATTTGCAAATCGATTCGGATCGCTCGTGTTCCAATCGATTTACTGACGTTTCTAAAAAAGTTCCGTTGCACTGCAGAAATTTTCTCCTTGAAAAAATTTCCATACAATGGCTCATAGTGGATTTTGCGTGTGGAAGACCGAAACGTGTTATTAGAACCGTTGTTATCATTACAAAATAGCATTAAAGAATTTTTTAACACTTGAAAACAAAATACTAATCGAAAAACTTTACCCTCTTGTTTCTTTGCAGATGAACCGTCCTATTCAAGTTAAGCCAGCGGACACTGAAAACCGCGGTGGTATGTTGATCGCATTTTAAATACATTCTTTTCCGGCTTTTTTTTCATTTTTTTCGTTTCACCGATTGGTTGTCCGAGATTTTTTTTGGTTTCATTTCAATGCATACTGATTAAGCTAAAAAGCAGATAAAAATAAAACAAAAATCCAAAGAAAGTATTTTGTCAACAAAACAACTAACTAGAACCAAAGAAAAAAAAATCAAACAAAACAACTGTGTGTACATGTTTTACAACTAATAGCGACTGTGTACTAACTCTGTGTGTGTATGTTGTAAAAAGCTAAATGGAAAAACTCAAAACTTATGCCTGTATTAAAATCAAATAAGCTCATCATTTTTCAGTTTAAACGCCAAAAAATAAACGAATTTAGTTAGTTCCTTCCTGCTATAATAAACTTAGAATATTTAAAACATTTCTTCAGTTAATACTTGTACTTATGCTTTAGCCCTTTCTCCTAACCAAAACCCACCACGGCACCCACACGCTCAGCCCGCGCTCGAGTGTTGCTCCAAACTTTTTGCACTGCATCAAAATTTAATAAGATTTCATCTTTTGCTTGACACTTTTTAATCTTTGTTTTGTGCATCAATTTATTTCGGAAATTCACCCAAAATGATTCTTTTGCTGAAGTTTAGAGATGCTCAAGCATATAAGCTTTTGACTTGAGCGTTGAGTCTTGCAATACGATATATGTACACATGTATAAGTACGTTTATTTCGGTGTTCCGTGCTGTTGAATAATGCGGTGCAAGAAGAGCATGCAGATATGCTTCGAATGTTTTCTGTTCTTCAACTCAACGTTCACCGAATACGGAGAGAAAAAGAGAAAAGATGAAATGACATTCATGTGAATTGTAGTATCGAACGCATCATGTGACACATGACTAAGGTGCTATCCCCGTATGAAAACCTGCACATATTTTAAATAATATTTGAAAAGAATTCAGCAAAAATATGACTGTAAAACTGAACATGTAGAAAACACAGTGAAGAACGACAGAGAGAGAGAAAGCATACAGAGGAAAAAATTCTATTACTCGTCGGAAGTGTTATGAAGTCTGTCGTGCATCAAAATCGCTGTTGGGGCGGGTATCTCTTTCTCCCTCTCTCTCCCACTCTCTCTCTCTCTCTCTCTCTCTCTCTCTCTCTCTCTCTCTCTCTCTATGTGTGCGTGTGTGAGTGACGTTTCTGTTGAGCACGTTGATGGATCAGCGAGCTGGGGCGAGCACATTTCATGCTGCAAATAAGGAAACGGTAGTTACCAGATCAAATATCAAATAGGTCTTTGAGGAAACATTCATGTGATGAGTCTTTTGCTTTTGTCTTCGCCAGCCTTCTCTCCATGCTTCGTAATAAATATATACAAACAGCAGCAGCATCAACAACTGTTGGCGGCTGAAATAGCAGCATGACGCTGGTGCTACCGCCCAAAAACAGCAGCACCATGTTTCTTTCGTTGTTTTAGTTTGCTTTCTTATAAATACTTTTTAGTTACTTTTCCATTCTCTCCTGTGTGCAGTGAATATGACGCTGAATTAAACGAACATAATACACTATACGGCGCGCATTGACAACACATCTTCTCTCTCGAACTCGCACACATACATACACACACACACACACAGTGTACACATGCCAAGCATCTCGACGTAGTTGTCTTCCTAACAAAGTTTATATGTGCACCATAATCGTACTTTATTATTCCGAGTAAAAAAAAAATAGCGGAGCAGATAGAGCACACGAAAAAAAAAGCCAGAAAAAAAACAAAATCGAAAAAAAGCCGAATAAACGTATACGTTGGTACTTGGTTTACTGTTTTCGACAATGGCTCAATGTCTTCAGAAGCGACTTCTTACATTTTTCCTCTCTTCTTTCGCCAATTTCTTCCCTGCCTTTACTTGTGCTGCTCGGAATTCACTTCTTTTTTGCTGCCATGTTCCTCACTTCGCGTTGTTCGCTTCTTTGATGACTTTTGACATCAATGCTTTCTGCAGCAGGCATACTGTTGATGATTTTGAAATGCTTAGACCATCAACACAAAAGTATTAAGGAATCTTTCGAACAACGAACACTTGAGATTCGTCAAATTGCTGCACGGATGTATCGAGTATGTTCGGTTGCTGTTGTTATGGGGCTGATGGGTTGCGTTTTAATGCCACAAACTTGTCAAATGCCTACAACAACCGACACAATGTCTCAAATGGGCGCTGAACGAAAGATTTTTCGCTCCCGAAAAAAAGTATAGTTCATAAATTTGGTTTATTACATTACACAAATATTTTTCACTGAAAAAAAAAGAAGTTAAAGAAATAAAAAAGAAAACGCAGCGCGCAAAGACGTATTTTGGATGGCGTGGGCTTCAAAAATAATCACAACAACAACAACAGCATCAACATTGAAAAATAATAACGAGAAAAACACCAAGAAAAAAGTAAAAAAAAAAGAAAAGAAAAGAGAACGACTTGAGCGAATACAACAAAATAAAAGTGTACATAAAATATTCGTGTATGGATGAAGAAGTACAATAGGGTGAGACCGTAAAAAAAGCGTTGCAAAAAGTGAACAGCGAAAAAAATGACGCATATCTCACTCTATTTTGTATTTCGCCGATGGTTGTTCTTCCAATTTTTGCTCCTTGCTGAATCCAACTTCTTCTTCTTCTTTGTTATTTTCTTTTCGTACACTGCTTGCCCTCCACCCCCACTCGCTCGCCCATTCTATCTCGTTCCATCTCTCACATTTGCTGCGCTGTGTATGTGTGTCTCGTTTTTAATTTTGCACTTCGTTCCGTTACTCCCATTAGTCTGGCATTATAATATGGCTTATTTTATTTTATTTTTGTGTTTCGTTTCGGATGATGTCTCAGTTGTGCTCCTGTTGGCTCGTCGAGCCACTAAAGGAATGTTGCATATATCATATAAATGCGAAATTCACTGCGAATATATTACGTAATTTATAAGAATAAGCAGGTAATTTGCTTTGAAATATTGCAAACTTGATGAAAAATACTTTTCATTCCAATGCAAATTCTTTAACGCACCCCAAACTACCACGTCACATGCGCTCTTTCTTTCTCTCTCTCTCTCGCTCGGCGTATTCGGTTTATTTTTTATTCTTTTCCGTCGTATTTGCTCTCACTCGGATGCTTTTTCCATTCGTTCATTCTTTATTTTCTTCATCGGCATTGCTCATAGTATGGCAGCCACTCAGGCCGAACAAACGCGCCATATCACGATGATAATCTCTCTTTCTCATCCCAAAAGCCCTCGCGCTCACTTACTTACTCGCTCACTTCGTTTCCCTCCATCACTCCCAATGCATTCCTATTGTTTGTGGTGCTTCTCACGCATCCCACGCATTCAATTCGCTTCTCGTCTCCCTTTCTCTATCTGTTTTTTTTCCTCGCTTGTCAGTTCTAAAACTAATAATAATGTGTTCACAAGTCTTAAACATGTTAAATTCTTTTATAATTGAATTATTTATTGAACGAATTAAATAGCATAGTAGTAAGCCGGAAGCGGAGACCGCCCCGAACGAACGAACGAATGAACGAGAAGAAGCATTGCGGATAGAATAAGCGAATTCTTGCATGAAGCTACAAAATGAAATGCCAGTAAAATTTAGATTAAAAGCAACCATGAGCTTATTTCGTTTGGAGCAACAACAATATTTTCGCATTTTCCACCGAAATAAAAAATTATTTCCACAAATAAAAATTCCGTTGATATTCCAAATAGCAATGCTCTGAATAACATTTGTATTTTGCAGTCACAAAAAGGGACATTTTGTTGAGTCTAACAGTAAAAAAATTTCAACAATTTTCATTATTTTTTTTTTCCTTGCTTTTTCTGCCATCATCCCAGGAGAACACGAAAATTAATGCACATGTGACAGTTTTGCTGAATTCATGACCATGTTTGCTTGTTTTGTGTTCGCTACTTGTTTCATCTTGTTATTTGAAAACAACAGCAAAATAAAAGCACAAATGCCTCACGATAGACATTTCCATTTTTGATTTGCCTTAGAGAGCGAATAAAATGAGCTATAACAAAACTGCAAACACATACTCATTTTTCGATTGATCGCTGGAAAAAAAAAGAATTCCAAAACAAATTACACTTGAAACCTTTTTTTGAAATTCGACCCATCTCTTGTGTGTGCGTACGTGTGTCTATCTCTTTGAACGATGCGAAATTGTGCGCAACCAACCGAACCAGACCTTTTCATATGTTGCATCAGAAAAGAAAATATGTAATGCTCAATCTTCAATAATTGGTATTGAAGAGAGCAGCTTATAGCCGATGCAAAATCATTTTGTTGTTAAGAGTTTTTCGTTTTTCTTTTTCTCATTCTGATAAAGACCTTTCTGACTTATCTCTATTTTTTTCTTCCGTCTCGCTTTCTCTTGACGCGTTTTCAGTTACTTCTTTTCCACTCTTTCTCTCGGTTTTCGACATTTACATGTTTTGGCATACTTCTCGTTATTGGTAAGAAGATCCATCGTTCTTGAAATAAATCATCTCTCAGTGGATAGGTTTTCACATATATTTTTTGGAAAGAAGAAGAAAAAAAAGAAGAAGACATAAGAGTCTCCCATTTCAATTTTCGATATTTCGTTGACTGTCTTCATTCATTTGAAAATTGCGAACAAATTTATGTACTCGAAAGAGATTTTCTTTTTATTCTTCTTCTGATCTTGTTAAAAGCTTCGATATTCGTCATGAGAGAGAGAGGGAGAGAGAGAGCCACAGAAAGAAATAGAAAAAATGTTCAAGAAAATGGAGGCTCAATGATAACATACCGTGTGCACACAAATTACCAAAAAAAAAATTTCTTTCAAAAGACGCAAACTGTCAATTTCGAGAAAATACTTATCAAAAATGAACAGAGGAAAAAAGTACAAATGTTAGACTCACATACATTTTGTGGTCTCCCGAGTCAGAACATAAAAACCACACGATGCGATGATGAAACGCCACGATTCGTTCGTTCCTTCAAAA